AAAGCAGATAGGCTGTTATTTATCAGCAAAATGTTGTGCAACAGCAAGAGACAGAAGTTGTTTCTATTTATAATACCTATCACTATAGTATCAAAGTGTTATGAAAGCAATGACCACAGTATAGCTATAGAGAATACAGCACAATGGATCACAATGTAGTCACTAGAGGCTTGCATTCTTCTAGCAGTCTGTTAGGTAGAAGTTTCTGGTTAGTATTTGTGATAAGGAGGCAAACCATCTCCTCCACCCACATAAAGTGCCCTCCACAAGGAGCCCAGTTCCAGCCCCACACCCTGTTCTTGCACTCGGCGTCTCAGGCGCTGTTACAGAACGCTATGCCTCCCGCCAGCTCAAGAGTCCTCCATACCAGCACTTCCCATACCAGCATAGCAGCATAGATTAATTGTTGATTCTTGTCCAGGCCTCCTCTTAGATTTTCAGGGCATCTGCGGGCCTTATTTATGGTCTTTGTCCAGAGCCCTCCAGGCTCACTAGCACCCAGACTCACCTCCCCAGACAGGTGAGGAGTTGGGCTCCTCACTTGTTCCTTTGGTTTGTCTTCCTTATTCTTCAGTGCCTACTGTCTGCTTCATGACTTCTTATTTCTAAGCAAGATTTTCTTCTATTTCTCATGCCTGCCACAGGGCTTGTATGTAGCCTTCTCTTTTAGGGTGGGGCTACCCTCAAAGGCAGAACCTCCTCTGTAAGGTCTTAAAATCTCCTTTTTCCTGCAGTATTCCAAGAAGGAAGACCTCATGTTCCTTCTTGCTGGCAAAAACACTGAATTACATTTAGTGCTGAATTTCATCTAGGGCAACTCTATTGTGTTGGAGTCACTGGAGTTAATGTACAGCTGCTCTCCAGGGCTCGCTGAAATCAACAGGAGTTAGGTGCATAATTACCTTTAGGATCTAGAGCAAAGAGCTCCTCTTCTCTCTCCTCCTTCCTCTTTAAACAAAGCTTTTGTAGATAATTATCCAAGCAGGGTATTTTGTTTTTGTTTTTCTTCCTCCTCCTCCTCTTTAGATTTAAACTGCAGCACCTAAATAGCTGTCTCTGTAAAAACACCTGTTACATTTGGGGAGGCAGCTTCACCTACACTGGTAACACTCCATGGTCAATACACCCATTTTGAAGCATAGGGCCTCTGAGATGAACAAGGGGTATCTTTCTCATGAAGCTACAGAAGTAGGCAGAATATAACTTTGATTTAGGTTACAGGACACTGAAACTTCTGTGCAGAAAATATAACTTTGATTTAGGTTACAGGACACTGAGGCTTCTGTGCAGAACCCTGCCATAGGAATGGATCCGGTTACACTGCAAACTTTGTTATTTAAATGCTCAGTTGGGAAACTATAAAAACACATTTTCAAATTTGATCTCCAAAGGCCTGGAACAGGAGTTTGAAAATATTTTATTTTTATTGGTTCCAGACTGACTATGTGATAAGAAAAACAAACAGCTCAACTGAGGCCGAGGAAATGGCTGAAAAATACTTTCTATGTCATTCAGACTCTCTTTGAGTTAGTGTAGCACATCAGCAGTGTTTGGTCCTGTCTAATTATAAATGTAACAAGTATTGGCTTTTTGCCACTTCCTTTAAGTTAGTCACAGTTTAGCTGTCAGAGAAATTTTCTTTATATTGAGCATAATTTCTGCTTCAAAATTTCACCCCATTAATTGGACTCAATTGCCCCCCCCCACTTTTTTACACAAACTACTTGCTAATATTTATCCTTGGTCTTTGTTTAGAACATTGGATTGGGCTTCAGTTCAGCAAAACACTTAAGCTATGCTAAGCATTTAGGAGCATAGGACTGGAAGGGACCTCCCAGGCTCTTGAGTGCAGACCACTGTGATTGCAGCCAACTATGAAATAACCATTTGCCCAAAAGCTTGTTAACTGTCACATTGTAAAAACACCCCTTTTTCCTCAGTGTACGCATACCCTTAGTGTTTGTGATCGTGTTTCCCTCTTGGACTGGATGCAATGATGGTAGCAACCCCTTTTCTCCTCTACTTCAAGTGGCAGGCCTGTGGTTTAGTTATTGACGGTCCCACTTCCTGATGACATCTGCAATGTCTGTATGTGTGTGTCCTTGGTTTATGTGTACATGCTAAATATGTTTAGTAATGGTTTCTAAATCCCACGCTTGATTGTCACATAGCCTAGTTGTTCATATATAAACATGCCACTTAGGCCACTAATTGCATTCTTTCCCAGATAGAAGCCTGGCCATGTGCTAGATGCAATCCAGATTGCACTAATAGAAAATATTACTTTTGAAATTTATTGATTTTCGTATTAGAAGCAATTTGAGAGGACAAATCTTTGAGCATTTTTAAGTCTCCACTAGTGTCTTCATCTGATAGTGTTTCCCTACCTTTAGTTTTTGAGCAAAGCTGCTTCCTGAAAACACCAAACAATGGGAAAAACAGAGGAAAACGATGGAGAAAAAGCACTAGTATTCTTAGCTTCCACTCCACAGGGCATCTTGAGTGCTCATCTGGATTTTCTTTTCTTTCAGAATCCTCATTCTGGGTGTATAATATCATGTAGCAGATTTCTGTGATGCCCAGAAGTCAAAATCTTTGCTTGCTTATTAGGGGTCAGATTTTTCCACACACATCAATGAGGAGCCTGGCTTTCCAGCCTTCATATGTCCCTTTTAGTTCAGCCCCTCAGGGTAAGTCTCACTGCAAGTGAGTGCCATGTAGAGATACTGATCTAGCTCTGTGCATGCTAACTCCGCTGCACAGCTAATTTGTTCAGACACTGCTGTATAAATGCTGCTATACCACTTCTGGTTCATAAATGGTGGACACAGAACTCGATTGGCTACCCATGGTACTCAGTGTGGATCTGATATATGGGGAATTCTTATAGCAGCAGAGGCTTGGCACAACTCCATGTGCCCCTGCACACTGCTGTGCCAGATGCTCCTCTATGCAAAGAAATGAACACATCCCATGCAGCCTCAGGCATCCTCTCCCTTTTCTTAGTAGACTATTGCTCTACAGTTTTCATCTAAAATCTGAACCTTTAAAAGGAGCATTGTGCTCGCATCATAGCCCCCACTTGCACATGTCATATAACTAGCATAGTTTAACATTGTTAGAGCTCTCTGCTCAGGAAACATTTGGAACTAGAACATCAGGGGCAGGAGTGAGGTGGGCAGAGCAGATGGGAAAACCTGAAGCGGTGTCTTGTCTGACCCATATTCCTACACTCTAGGCCAGCGTTTCTCAACCCATGGGTTGAGACCCACAAGTGGGTTGCAACAATATATGAAAAGGTTGTGAACAATCATGGAAAAATGTGGAAAATCATAGATTTTCTCTTTTAAAGGAAACCGCAGGTTCCCCTTGTAGGCTGGCAGAGTTCCAGCCTCCAAGGGGCTGCTTGGGGCTGGGGAAAGCAGGACGGTGATAAGGCAGGGGGTCCCACATGCATGTGTGCTCACGCATGTGCACATGGTGCTCAGGCAACAAAAAGAGCAGCTGCCACAGCTCCCCACAGGTAAGTCTATGGGGTGGGAGAGGGGAGGGGGCACAGACGATGCATTGAGGGGCATGTGCCTGCCTAGATTTGTGCACCCAGAGCAGGCATGGGGCTACTGCCTGGCTGGACTAGCACAGGCAGGAGCCACCTCTGCGGCCCAGCAGGCAGGACCTGGTGCAGGATGGCAAAACTTGTTGCTGCCACCACTGAGACCCCCACTCCAGCTGTGCTGACAGCTGCATGAAGAGTAATGGATGTGGGGTTGGGGGGGCCTGCACTGCCCTTACATCCTCCTGCCACTACCCTGGAGGGAAGGTGGGGTGGTGGGCAGTGAGTGGCCTGAGGGGAGTGGTGGCAGCTAGGACATGGTGGCAGGGTAGAGCTGTGGCCCAGCATGCAAGCAGCTGGTGGTGGGAGGAGATGAGGGCAGCTGGTGCCAGGGTCCTGGCAGGGGCAGCAGAGAGTCTCGATGCCAGACTATGGCTCCCATCCACTGGACCATAGAGGCAGCTCCTGCCCATGCTGCAGCTCTGTGCCTGCTGTGGGCACACACTACTCCCTGCCCCACACTCCCTGGGGGCAGGCCAGGAGTGAGGATCACCAGCAGGGCTGGGGGGTGGGGGGACTGTGGGTCAAGACTGAGGGGCACTGGCAGGGCTGGGGGGCTGTGAGTCAGGAGTGAGGGGCACTGGCAACTTGCACTGTGCAACCTGAACAACGATGTCACTTGGGAGTAATGGAGGGCCACGTGTTGATATTGCTGATAATGTTTTCCTGTTGATGTTGATTTCTGTCTTTAAAATGAACACTGCTGAGTTGCTTTACCTTGTGTGTAATATGTTTTGGGGCCAAAATACTTGTGCGTTTTCTCCTTAAACTATTTACTGGGTGGGGACCAGCCAATGATGTTTCCAAATGGGTCCTGGTACAAAAAAGGGTGAGAACCACTGCTCTAGACAGCACTCTCCATCCACCTCTGCATTTTCATGAGCGCAAAGTTCACGCCTATATTTTTAGTAAAAGAAAAGTGGGGTGGGGGATAAAGACGGCTGTACTCTGACTGAGAAGATAAAAACACCCCGCCGCACCGTGTTCAAATGTTTGCGTGGGGATCCCTGCATACCAGCAGGAGTCACTCTAGGCCTCCTAATGGAAATTGAGGAAATGAACCGCTTTCAAAATCATCTAAGGTCAAAGTCAATCACCGAATTGGAGGTTAAGAAGCGATTTCATAGATTTCATAGACATTACATACTTGAAAGAAGAACAGCACAAAGCCAGTACTAGCTAGTAAGTTTTGCAGCATCCTTGACCACGTATGAAATCGTTGCCTGTCTGCTGCTTTTCCCCTTGGTTTCAATGAGCTTGATGACAGCTGAAGGGCTGAAGTTGCCTCCGACTTCCCAAGCGGCTTCCCCCCGACCCGACCCTACCCGACCCCCGCCGCAGCACGAGCTTTTGGAGGCGGCAGCATTGCTCAGTCCTAGGTGTGGGCTCTCTCTCTCTCGCTCTCTCCCGGCCCGGGGCGCTCCGCGCGGAGCCGAGCACAGCGCTGCGGGCAGCCCCCGGCCCGGGCGCACCGAGACGAGCACCGGGGGCGGCGGGGAAGCGGCTCCGGGAGGGGAAGGCATGTGCGAGCGGGCGAGGAGCTCAGGAAGTGACAAGCCCGATTTCCTCTGGGCGGAGCGCTGCGGCCCGGCGGGGGAGGCCGGCAGCTCCCGCCGCCCGGGGACGCGATGCCCGGCCGCACAGTAAGGCGCGGGGCGGAGCGCGGGGCGGGCGCGGGGCTGCCTTCCCGGCCGCGGCGGGGCAGCAGCGCGTAGCGGAGCCCGGGCCCCCGCTTCCCTCCTGGACCCAGGTGGAGGCGCGTGTCTTGTTGTGCGTGTGTGTCCTTGTCTTTGTGCTGGACCGGGGGAGGGCGGGGACGTGCCCCGCCTGCGCCCGGGCACGGGGAGAAGGGACGGTGGAGCGGGGTTGGGGAGGGAAAGTTTGGGCAGCTCTTTTGTTTGCGGAACTTTGCATGGATGCTGAGCAAGTCCCCTTGGTGCCAGCCGCCGCGGTCCCTGCAGCCCGCGTGCCCCCGCGCTGGAGCAGCGCCTCTCCCGCAGCTGCTGGGGCTCCGCGTGTCCCTCCCGCGGCCCGCAGGCAGCCCCTCCAGGTGTGGTTGTGTTTTGTTTTGTAAGGGTGTGTGTTTTGTCCATGCTGCTCTGAGGAAGATGGTGAACAAAGAAAAGCTCTTGGCTGCGTTGGATGAGTGGTATTCTGCCTCCTATAGGCGACACTGCCGGGGATGATGTACAAGGTCCCTTCTGGGCCTGTCACCTCCGCGCCCGCCCGCCCGTCCATGCGCTGCTGTGCCTGGAGGTGCAGGTGTGCGGCTGCTGTCATGCAAAGGGCGCTTCTGGAGCCGAAGACTTTGGGCTGACGGGTGTCGGATAGGAGGAGAAGTTAGGATGGGTTGTTTCCTGAGCTTTTTTGGGGTGCCTTCAAGGCCCCGGGACATGTTTGCCGCATGCCTTGGATGATATTCAGAGGGCTTTTTGCTGTGGAAAACGGGAGAGCTTACTTGCATTATGGGCTAATAGCTATAGTTACTGGTAATAGGAGGACCGGTGTCTTGCTGAGCCTGCTCACAGCAGGCAAATAGCTGCCACAGCATTCGCTGGTCCTTGTGGTGCATGATCTTGTTAATAGAGAAAATCATGTTGGTGAGAAGTCATTACTAAGGATGGCAAAAGGAACGGCAGATCTTGTGAAATTATTCTGTTTATTGTCAGTTTTGTCATGGGCTCTGGGTTCATCTTAATTCTAGTACACTTGGTGGCAAACTTAGCACAGCTATGGTTTTGAGACTGGTTAATGCGCTGCACACTTTTACCGCTCTGAGATAAGTTGGGATGGAAGCAAACTATGTATTCTGTAATGCCTCCTTGTTTGCATTATTGCCTCTCCCCCCTCCTCTCATGGAAGCATTATATCTTTGCAGAGAAGATTTAAGATGATTCTTTCATTCTTACTCCCAGCCATACAATATATGTAAGCTACCTAGTGTGAACACTGCCCTGAGTTCAGGAGATGTTAGTCTTATGTGATCTGGCTACAGAGAGTCTGTATCTAGCTATAAAACCAAGCAAAATATAATGGTGAAACTGGCATGTGCCTAGAGAACAGCATTAATTATGTGCTTTGATGTTGTACATTTGCTGCAGGATACAACTGTTTCAAGACAAGTTCAAATAGCCTAGCCAGGATGGGAGGTGGGAGTGGAGGTTGCCCTTCAAAAGTTTGGTCTGCAGAGAACTTGCATTTAGATTTAGTACGCTATAGCCTTTGTAATATATATTTTTTTCTGACAATATCAGTGTATTCCACTCTCCTGGGCCATGAATAAATGCTTAGCACAGCTAAAACTTGGAAGTTCAAACCATCAGCTAGAGCACTCTGATCCACCAGGACTTAAAACACACTGCCACCTGGCCATTTGACTCAATGTTATTGTATTGAGCCACTTGCCAGCTCTATCCTTAGCAGTTTATAATTTTCCCCTCAACAGGATACCCTCATTTTTCACATTTTCTTTTTTTCTGTTGGAAGCCATATTGCAGTTACATTTCCTGATAATAGAGGTGAGGGGAGGAGGAGTTTATATAAGTATTATTTTGTAAGTTCATTAAAGGGTTCTAAGAAGCAATAGGTGTACCTTTTCTAGAGATGTCTTAGAGAATTGAGAGCGCTTGAGTTTTATATAAATTTAATCCGTTTATGTATAAATGACTCTAAAGACCTACAGAATAGTTTAACTGTCCCAGAAAATACTATTGTAATTATATATTTAATCTCAGATTAAGTTCTCTCAGATTTTTCAAAATACCTAAAGAAAGATTGTACGTTAAGACTTTTCATATAGGGATTTCCCCCCATCCTTGCAGAGTCTTCAAATTGAATGTGTTTGTCACCAAAGGAAAAACAGAGGCAGTATGCATTCGCAATCAGTAGCCATCATGTCTGTAGCAGTTTTCAGGTACATTGGAGCAGTTTGGACTCATCTCCTTAAAACCCTTTTAACATGAAATTTAGAAAAAAAAAGTAGGCAGAACTGTTTATATAATATGCTGATAAACTGAGCTTCAGCTTGAGATTCAAACCAGATGTGGATGTTTTCTTTTTAAATCCTCCAACAACAGTAAGAGTATATTTTCACAGATTGCAAACTACTTGCAAATTGCAAAGGTAACACTATCTTGGAATAACCCTCTTTCTAAAAATACTGTACTCAGAGTGCCTTTATAGTTCTTTCTTTCTCCTGTTTTGTTCCATTTACCAGATTCCTCATCTCTTTCTTGAGAGCACTGTTTCCTCGCTAGTAGTGTTGCACATGGCATCAGCATGGGCAACTGTTAAGCTGAACGAACAGGCCAACTGCCACAGCTACGATTTCTAAACAACACCCCAAATAATTGTGTGCAGAGCATGTGCCATTAGAATAGCTTTCAACTAACAAAGTACTGATGGCCCTCAACCTGCCAGTGACTAGAGCTAAATATTTACTAGGTCTGTTTGCAAAACCTGAAGAGTTTAGATAAAACTTGCATAAATATTTATTTGGGTTGGGTCAAGTAACCCGTTTTTAGTTTTTATTGTTGTTGATAAAGCAGCTTGGAATTCAGGACACTTCAGACAGTTCTAACATGTACCTATTTTGGGCCTCAGCCCACACTAATTTTGGAGGAATATTTTTTATTGCCAAAGACAGAGGGAAACATCACTTTCTCATTAAAAAAATAAAGGCTGTTTGAAGCTGCTGAGGGGTCTGGAATGTTAAAAATAGTTCTGGTCTGGATGGATCAGTGGGCAGAGTGGAAGTGGAGCCAGTCGAAGGTGCATGGTAAGTCCCATTTATCACATGCTTCAAGCAGCTGGCATTTAAAAAAAAACAAAAACAATGTACCATAGAATTGTTTCCTTATTCCCCCTCAAAGAAAGAATTTCCCCTCCCCAAAAGACACTGGCTGTAGAAGGGGTGCTGAAAAATTATGCTACATTACATAAATAAGTAGACAGAAAGCAGCCAAAGCAACTTTCTGTAAGTTCTGTATTTGGTTTTGTGTTTTTTTAATTTGAATCCCCAGATCTACACTTTGTTTCTTAGTCAGATCTAAAACAGGGAACCAGGATAGACTTCCTGGTTCTGGTTTGGATATGGTCAAGGTCCCTAAGAACAACTTTCATTTTTTTAATGACATATCAATTATACAAGACATAAAACCTTTAAGAAAATATCACAAAAATTCAGCACTAAAGAATTTGAACCTAGACCTGATTCCTAACCCTGGGCTTTGAACCAGAATGCTAACTGAAATCAATTCAAGATCTCCGATTTCCTGTCTTCGATGGATCAGATTCAGAAATAGAAATATAGACTGAACAGTGTATAAATCACACTCAGAATTGATTTAGGCTAGGGTTCAGGTATTTGAGTGCATGTATGCATATGTCTATAAACATATTATGTATGCATATGTAAAATATATGCATAGCCATATGCAAACATACCATGTAAGTCCTATAATCAAATAAAATTAATGATGTGATTTAAATATATTTTTACAATATAACACATTTGATTCAATTTCAGTATTTTAAGTATAACAAGCTTCAGTTCAATTTATTGGAATAACCAAGTGAATAATTTTTGCCAGAAACAACACCTCATATATTTTTATGTGCAGAACAGGCATAAAACATCCTATACATGACTAGAGGACTAGCTGGGTTCTATACAAGGTGTCCATGAAAAGTTCAGGAGATGTTTCTATAATGGTTTAACTCTTCCAGAAATAAAGGCCTTTGTGGCTGCTTTTTATACCTTTCTGTAATAGGTTCGGTGATGGGAAGTATGTGGCAGAGACCAGGTTTGCAGATGAGGGAAAATAAAAATGTATGAAGAGCCTTGGAAAATTTTGCATGTTGAGGGTTCCACTTTGGAAAATTTCCCATCATGTTACTGTGACTAAGAAGTGTGACAGTGGTAATCATGTCCTTACTGCTTAACCCCCACCCCGCTCACCTCTCTTGATGGTGAGGTGGTAGGCTAGTTTAGCAATCTGCACTGGGAAGCTGTGTTTTGCATCACAGGGGTCCTTGCAAGACCATGTAAAATTATCGTAGAAACAACAGCTTCTCTCATGTGTGTCTGATCCCAGGAGAGCTAAATATAAATTAATCAGCATATGGGACGGAAATTTTCCACCATGCTACTCAGCTGAGATTGACAGTGTATCAGGCCTTTAGGCAGCATGCTTGGCCCAACAGTCTCATGGCAGGCTAACTCCCAAATCTTCTCACTTTTCTTGCCCTTCACCCACATAATAAGCCACAGTCTCTGAGTCTCCTTGAGGATCATGTTTCTGAAAGGCCCTGTTTTGATCCAGTAACTCTTCTGCAGCACACAACTGTAGCTTTTACCTTGAGAGATGAATTTGGCTGTATAAAGATAGGCATCCCAATTCACTTTCCCCTTCTGGCTGCTGAAACCACATTTCTACCATGAGAATGCCCTAGCTCAGGGTGATCAGTCCCCAGCCCATGGGCCAGATCTGGCCTGCAGAGTCTTGTGATCTGACCTGTAGGGCTTCCCTAGGATCCAGAAATTTGGTGGGAGGGCAGCAGTGGCAATTGGCACTGCTACCACCTCCCATCACCAAATTTCCAAGCCCTGTGGGCCAGATGCCATGGCCCATGTGCACGGGATCCTGCAGGCCCACAGGGAACTGAGGCTAGGGTGGCGAGGCCTAATTTAGCACATGTGGGGCCATGGCCACAATCATGTCAGATTGGCTGACTAGATCTGGCCCACAGACCCACTCCTCACCATGTAT